TCTCTCTCTCTCTCTCTCTCACACACACACACACACACACACACACACACACACACACACACACACTCACACACACACACACACACACACACACACACACAAAGGGGGTCCGAAATCCCCCGACAGGTGAGTGCTTTGGGGGGGCCCGGCCCCCAACCGGGTGCCCTGCCCGGCCAGGCCGCCCGGGGCCTCCCCCGGCCCCCTGCCGGTCACCCGGGCGGCCCGGATCCCCACTCAGATTTTTTCGGAATTTTCGGGCCGCACCGAAGTTACCACAAATTTACTGAATGTAATGCCCGGACGTTATAAACGAATATAATGCCAGGTAGGCGTTATGTTTGTACACAACGCCCGGGCGTTATTTTCGGGTAAAGATGGTAGTAGGATAGCCGGAATTCAACCTCCTGTAGCCAGTTCTCCACATTGACATTCGACTGCCCCTTAAATCTTGGGGGTGACTGCAGTTTTGGCAAATTTCTGTTGCAGAATGCAAAGGGTCAGTGTCCCACTTGATGACAGTGCTGCACTCCCCACTTGGGTTATGATTGGTGTCGTGGTAGAGGAGGAAACAGAGTGCCCCTGTGGTTTGGCAAGTAGATCCTAGATGTGCTGCATCTGCTTCACCATCTCCTGTGCCAGATGGTGCAACAATTGCTGCTCAAGCTGTGACAGCTGGTCTGTCCTGTCCTCCACATCGTACATATGTGCAGAATACTGTACGCTATGTGCTTTTCTTGTCGTTCGCCACCTGCACTGTTATAATGCTCTGCGCATGCGCTTTGCCTTCCTCAGTCCTCCCCCTTGCCAAATCTGCTTGGAGCTCCTGCCTCTCCTGCATGGTTGGTTTCTGTTTCGTGGCTGTTTCAGCCTGTGGATATCGTTCAGCTTCCTCTTACCTCTCTCTCTCTGTGCAAGTAGGTTACTACCATTGGCTACTAATAGCCTCTCGCCAACTTGTCCTTCCCTTACAACTTCTCTCCAACTTCCTCCTCTCTTCACTGCACAGATGGGATCTCATAGACAAATGATGTGAGAAGTAGTGGGGTAGGTGCTGACATGGCCCTTGCTGATGTGGCACCTCAGCTGACATGGCGCCCTGTTTGGTATCAACTCGCCTCCCAACTTTTCTCGAACTCCCTCGTCCTCTCTTCATGCATGGATGGGATCCCTTTGGCAAACGGTGCGAGATGAGGTGCAACCCTAGGAATGGCACTGAAACGTGGTGGGGTGGGTGCTGATCTGGCACCTCGGCTGATATGGTGGCCTGTCAGGACCAATCATGCATCTGATGTCCTGATTGTTTCTGGTTCTTATGCCACCTTATGATTTTGCAAGACTTTACTTCACACGGTCACATTTGATGGGAAAGTTCACAGAAAACTGAAACTGATCATACACGCTTGAATGCCTGGTATAACAGAGATGTTCGTTTGGGCTCACGGCTGCCCTGAGCACATTGCATCAGATAGAATCAAAAGTGGTGTGGTGTACTACTGGACCTGTTTGCCCATGGCTGCACCTGGCCTCCTTGTTGTTAGCGCTAAGAATAACGCTCCTTGGTTCTCTCGCCTGAGCATCTATCGAAAACCAAAATCAGCGAAAACGCGCTGCTCAGCTCGTCACGTCGACGAGTGGCTCTTCCCTGCCTAGGCCTACTGGATCTGTCCATAAGAAATCTGGCAGTCTGAAAGGTCTGAACCTAGTCTAGGTGAACACAGACCCTACTACAAGTCTTGGGTTTGAATCTTGGCTGCAGCAGAATGACAAACGAGTTGAAGAGACAAGAAATTCAAAATATGTCGTGCAGGTTGCGGGCCTAGATCCTGATGCACCAACATGGGGCTACTTAGCGTCATTTATGATGAATGATGTCTAGGCATGGCCTTTCTTGTGGGCACAAGGTGGTCCCGAATTGCATTGGTCCACATTCTTGTAGCTCAGTGTGCAGTAACCCATGTTCTGCAGCAGTCTGGGCCCTCGAAACAGAGCCCGGACGACGCAGGCCAAACTCGGCCTGCGCCAGGCAGTGTGACCACTCACTGCCTAGGAAAGTCAAAAGTCTAAGTCAACTGTCAAAGGTACCACGCCCAGGCCCTTGGTCGAATACATTCACTTGTCGTGCGCAGGTACTCGGACAGCATCAAGGCCACAGGGAGTTCGGTTTCAGGCAAATCTGGGCCGCTATTTGTCTTGAGATCTCGACGGCCTAGGGAAGCAGCAACCGGGGTCGAGACCCCGCATCAACGCTAAATAAGCCTGGACTACCTGGCTGGGAGGACATTCTGTCTCGCGTCAATGCTGACTTCACGCGTTGACTTCGACGCTAGTACGACGCTGCGATACTGGCTGGACGCTGGCTCTACGCTGGCACTTGAGAGACTACAGCGACACGCTGCTGGCTCGGCATGGTGGCTGGCTGGCAATTGTCTTCTGGGCATGCTGATGTGGCAGCTGCCACCCGCCGTTGCTGACGTGGCTGCTGGCACATGTACTCTGGCTGATGTGGCGGGACTATGTGACTGATATTGCTATTCTGATTCATCGTCACTCGGAAGGGGATCAAGACTGTGGGGCGATTGTGAGATCAAGACTGTGGGGCGATTGTAGATACGTACCTGGTCTCTCGATGTCGACATTGCTCCAGCTCGCTGATGATGACAGGTTGACTTGCCACGTGGCACATTGAGATAGAACTTCAGATTTGTGTTCGGACTATTGATTATTGAGGTGGCGATCGAGGAGGGAGCCCAAAGCAGAAGTGGGCATTGTTTTCTTCTCCACTCTAAGTCTATTCTCCCTTCTCTCTCTTTCGTCTGTGTATGTTTCCCGATCTCATTCTATCTGGACACGATTATGATTATTGACAATCATCAGCAGGTTGATATCTATCTGGGCTTGCATTGTTGAAAAGTGTCTTCACGATCTGGGTTCATTGCAAGTGACTGTCAATGATGTGACTGATTGTGTCATTATACCGTAGAGTCCCTTTCCTTTTTGATCATTGCATGTTGCTCATTGATGGCAATAATATACAAGATTACAATTTGCATTTGTGACTTGTCGTCTTTTTTTCTTTTGTGTGTTTTTTCTAGCCCTTGCGGGGACAATTCTATGCGTTGACAGGTTTTTTTGTGGTGTTCCACTTTTTCAACCTGCAAATGCGGTGAGTGATTCCACTTGTTGTGAAAACTCTCTCTCTCCCCTTCCCCTGCCTCTCTCTCTCACGATCGTTCTTTGCCCTTCTTTCTTCCCTGAAAGGTGACAGCACAGGCCATATTTTAACCATCATATTTGTTGATTCTTTCTACTTGTGTTGTGTACTGATCATGCAGGTTTCCTGCTGTCTCCTATCATGAAGGTTTTACTTTTATTTCATCTGCTGTAGAGTGCGTGCAAAATGCATTACCCAATGGCGGCCCACCATTTGTTTTTGGAATTGCCACTTCACCCAACCCGCCCAATTTTTTCCTGGTATCGCTCGCCCTCATAAAAAAAAAAGTCTTTAGGTGATCCAGCCCACCCAAGTTTTTTTTCAAAATTTCACCCCCACACCCGATCCGCCCCCCACCCGTAAAAACCTTCACCTGGACCCACCCACACCCGCAAGAAAATCATTACCCGCCTGTACCCGGGACCTAATTCTTTTTCACCCGCATCGGCCCATGCCCAACTTAACACTTAGATATAATATGACATTGCGTCGTGACATCACAAAATGAAACAAATCCATATTTAAAATCTAGGCTAGCAGCTGGGCGGCATAGTCTCTTACCACATGCATGCAAGGGTCAAAGAAAAAAAAAAGAAAAAAAAAAGCTGAAAGCCTGTGAAAGGCAGGAAAATAAACTGGGACAACTTTTGCCTCAGGGTCACATCGAAATTCTGTACCAAGGTCAAATTACAAAATAAACTTAATATATATACTGTGTGGGGATCCGGGCCTCCCGGGTGACCGGCAGGGGCCCGGGGGAGGTCTTGGGCGGCCTGGCCGGGCAGGGCACCCGGTTGGCGGCCGGGCCCCCCCAGCACACTCACCTGTCGGGGGATTTCGAACCCCCTTTCGGACCCCCTGTGTGTGTGTGTGTGTGTGTGTGTGTGTGTGTGTGTGTGTGTGTCTGTGTGTGTGTGTGTGTGTGTGTGTGTGAG